GGCAGGAAGTTGGATTACTGAATGAGCTAACAGGCTACTAGCATGCATGATCTAATTAACGTGATCAATCCTACTAATATAGAGAGTGAAACGTCTTTGTACACAAATTGACAGGAAAACTGCTAAAACTAGCCTTTTCTGTTGTGAGTATAAAGCATCAGAGGTTACATCAACAGTTTGCAGACCCCTGAGTTAGACAATGTCATTTTCATGTTTGGATCATTTTTTGAAGAAAACATTTTTACAGACAAAAATACTTTGCCAGGCGTAATATCTGTTTATTTTACAAAGGTATTTGATAGAACAATATTTGTAGGAGCAAAAATAAATAAATCTGCTTGGAACACTAAGAGAAACAAGCCTGATGTACAAAAACTGGCACAGGTTTTCCCTTTTCATAAAGTGACGATTAGCCAAAGCTCTTTGAAATATTTCCATTACACATTTGTGCTTTCTGGTTAAAGTGTAGGTCAGCGGTAAATGAAAGTTGAAACTGAGCTAGCCGTTTCCTTTTATTCACCAGCTGATGCCAACAAGCACGACCAGGGCCAGAAGTGTGTGAGTTAGTGAGTGTGTTAGAGCAGTAAGGCACAATCGGTGGTTACAGTTGCAGGAATTTGTTCAGCCACAAACAGAAACTCGAGATGGAAGGAAAAAGGGAAGTGAGAAAAATTAATCATTTTATTGGTCAGACCACCCAAGAGGTTCTGTTTACAATTCAGAATAAGAGATTTGTGTGTATGTTTGTGTGAAGCCAGCGACTCCTGGGATTCAGGATATTATTGGCACTGGAAAGGAAGATGGCAGGCTTTTTGAGGTCACCCGAGCTCCGGACTCGGCGACGCAATTTTTACACAAGTTAGAGACAAGTGTCATTATTGAGCGATGACAGTCTTTAAAGGTGGTCCGAGGGGAGGCGTCGTCACTGTGAAATGGCACTTTGGCTGAAACCAGACGCAGATATGCACACATACACACAGCTCCTCAAAGGTCACACTACATCATTTCCCCTGCCAGCYATCGCTGCTCCTCATGAAAGGAGCGGAGCCCTGATCCCCATGCTCATTAATAACCGTATTAATTATGCTGCCTGGGAATAACATGCATTTCATTATCGCTCCCTCCCTCTGCCTCTATCCTTCACGCCCACGTCCTCCCCCCTCTCACACCCACCCCATCTTTCCTGTCTGGTCTGTCCTTTTTTTTTGCGCCATCCTCTCTACCTCCACCCATCCTGTTGGTTTTTCTGCCCCCTTTCCTCCTCTCTCCCCTTCAAGACTTTCAGTCGTGTCTGATCTGCGTGGCTCGGAGGGTGCCCACGAAGGAAAGGCCGGTGCTTCCCACTCATGAGAGCTTCACTACACGCCAGGACCTGCAAGGTACAAAAAAACACAGACATAATGAAACTACAAATTAATACAGCAGAGACCAAACTTGGAGAACTAAACCAATGGTTTTAATTTGCACCTTCCTCTAATATATTTTTTACACATTCAGGTCTAGTAAGATAGTGTATTCAAAGAGTAATATAGTGACTCACCAACCCCCCAGCAGCATTTTATCACAGAACTCTAGCCTATAAATCACCTCACACTGAAGCTAGGCATTTAAAATTTATTAGATCCTTTGTAAAGACCCCTAGGATTGAACATGTTAGTTATTRCCACTTCTGTCTGCACTCTGGGAGGTAGAGTACCCATTTGATCACATAGATGTTCAGTTGTCTGCTTTTCACCTGGTCTTTGAAGTACTAATGCCGTTTGTGTGGTATGCGCACCCAGAACCACATCACACAAGCGCACATTTATGGTTAGTCGCTGACATGTAATCATTTCCTGTAGTTTCCCATGCAGACTCCAGTAGGTGTGCATTGATGTAAACCTGTATTTTTTGACTGTTAGTCCCACATACTTAGAATTACAATAATTTGTGATGTTCAGAATTACAGTAGCTCAAAACTGTAGCTAAAAGCCAAAGATATCAAACCTCTATTTTTACATCTAAAGTTTGCAAAACCATCTAAAACTAGAGTGGTAACTAAAAAAAATTAAGTAGCAAAACAGGTGCTAAAAGCTAAAAGTAGCTGAAAGCTAAAATGAAAATGCAAGAAAGCTGATGTGGATTTCAGGGAACGACGTTTTTGAATAAACTGCAGAGAACTTAGCTTATCTCTGTGGGTAATAAAAATATAGGTAAATGATGCAAAAAGTATAAAAGTTCCAAGTCTTTAAAGTCATACTCTTCATTCCCAGTTGAGCTTAATATTTTTGGTATACAAGTGTTTTAAATTATCGGTTTAAATGAGTTTAAAGTTTGCGATAAAGTTCGATCGTAAAACAAACATCCAGTGGAAATCTAAACAGCAGAACAAAAGTGAATGCTGAATCAGCATTCACATGATAATCATACCTCTGCAGTTTTCAGATTGCTAAACGTTAGGAGAAATACAGGTTATAATGTCGGTGTGACAAGTCTGTCTCTGGTCGTTCAGAGGCTCCATTGCTACCATTTAAATTATTGTCAGMTGTCACTCTGCTTCAAGTGACTGTACCTGTGCGTTGACACAAGTGGACAGTGTTTGTTAAGCTTGTGCTGTTTGACAGGGATCCTGCCACTGCCTCTTTAGTTTCTAAATAATAGCTATATTATTTAATCAATATTTGTGATATGTCTGTTTTTATGTTTGTGTATTAAAACACTTTATTACAACTTGTTTCAAATCACATTCTATAATCCTAAGTTAGAAATACAATAAATTCAYACTTTCTGTTTAAAAGGCTCATTATTTTTGTACTTAGGTAAGATAACGTCTCTGGACACTAGTCTGCTACGAGCGTCGATGAAGCCAGGCTGGGAAGATCTCGTTAGGCGCTGTATCCAGAGGTTCCACCTACAAAATGATGGAGAGATGTCTTTTGCAAAGAGACACCAGCAGGAAGGTAATTCTGCTCATAGATGGTTCTGTCTAATGTTTGGAACTTGTTTTAAAGAATCTTTTTTTAATCTCCTGGACTGTTAGTTAATGATGACGTTTTTCTTATTTGGTTGGATTTGACAAATTAACTGCATAGMTTTGAAGCACTGCAGTGAAATCCAYWAGAAGTACCAGTATAAACATTATCTACYCTCCTTTTATGACCAAAGTAAAGATAAMTTGCATTTRCTGCAAAATTGCAGTGTGAATGCTTAATGCTAAAGATTTTTGCTGAATYGTTAAAAAGAGAGCCTAAGAAWAGCATAAAAAGTAGCTAAAATTAGCACACAGAAAGAGAGAGCATGTTTGCTCTCTTGCAAGAAGCTGAAATTTTCACAAAAAGATGAATTTAGCTGAAATAAAATGRTCAAATTAGCTAAAAAGTAGCTAAAAGCACGAAAATTAGCAGAAAGTGACAAAGTTTATATTAGCAGAAGAATAGCAGGATGACAGTTAAAACAGCAGAAAAAAAGCTAAAACCACCCAAATAGAAGCCGAAGGAAGATGAAATTAGCACAAAGAAACAGAACAAGTTTNACCATTTTAAAAGATTACCAGAAAGTCTGGCTCCTTGGAAAGAAATATAAATGAGTTTGGAGCTGTTGGTGCATTTCAATTACTGTATTTATACATTTATAATACTAGAAATTTAACCCTAAAAATCATTCATAAAGTAGGGGGGTAGTATTATACACAGGTTATTGATGATTCAATTTTTAATGCTTTTTAAGCTCAAAAAAAGGATTGTATTATACTTGAGATCGTATTATACATGATTAAATACGGTAGGTCATTTAAGGGTGAATTTAGTCTCTTCAAAGTTACTGTTAAAAGCAATCAAAATGAAAACATTTGAATCAATTTATTGAATGTTAGAAATTTCTTGTTGTTGTGATTGTTATTGGTTCTTTTTTTCTGCTGTTTAAGAACATTCCTGTCTTCAAAATGCTTCTGGAAGACACTGTATTCCTGTCACTGCATGTGTCCCATTTATATCCGTATAAATGTTAGCCAACAAACTGGTTGGGCCACACTGATAACAGGATGTAATCTACAGATGGTTTCTGTTTAAGCTGCATTACCTGTAAAACCAAAGAAACAAACTGAGATCCTTTTCTAATCCTTTGTCTTGTCATCAGAAATTTGTGACTTGTGTTTTTAGAAGAGTCCCAATAATTCTGTTTTGATAACAAGAGTAAAAAAGGCCAAGCTGGTCACCTGCAGACTGAACCCAGATGACAGGCCACACGGAAACCTGCTCTTTTTAGATGAAGAGAGCTCTGTTTTAATTGTCCGCTCTCTCAACATGCACTGATACACGAACACACAACAATYCTTGTACCCTCGGGGTGTTTCACCTGGTACTCGATGAGAACTGATGACAAAAATACTGAAATATTTGTACAAAACMTTCTCTCTTTTTCTCTACAAATTGACTCAAAATATTTTAAATTGTTGCCCAGTCAGTCCTGGCTGTTCAAAAGAAAATACAAATGGGCCAAAATTATTCTGTAAACATTGTTGGCCATAAAAATACGTGGAGACATGTTGTTTATTCGCATCTTTTCTTGGCTGGCGTTAATGGATGGTAGCTGCTACTTGTGAAAAGGCAACTTATGGGCTAATTCTGCTATAAACTGTGTAAGTCGTGAAAACTGAAAATATGGTATTTTAATATTTATTAATATATTTACACATTAGGACAAAATAAAATACCATATTCACGTTAGTGTTGGGCACTATTGACATCAAAATTTCTCAGGGTTAATTGTGGGATTTAGCCGATAACAATAAATATGACAATTAGAAGATGACGCTTGTAGCTGACGTTGTGGCCTTGGTCCACATTTTCTGTCTTTCCTTGCACTCCAGTTTGTGTCTGTGTTGTTTCAGGTGATTAAGTTTGTAGGGTTAGTGTTAGCCGCTCAATGCCGCCTTCCACCACTGGTCTCACCTGCGCACCTGATAGTGWTGYTGTGTCATACACAAAAAATTGTCATCATATTGCACTAATTGCAGTAATTGCAAATTTTAATTGTTGATKGTTTTACTGACGATTAATTGCACACGATCCGATTTTGCCCAACCTTAATCCATGTAAACAAGGAAAATACTACAAATAGTTTACACCAAATTTAATAAAAAACTGCAACTGAGCTGTTTTCCTAATGCTTGTTATTTTCTAGTTTAGTCGTACAGAAACCTACTTTAAGGCAGGAAGTTGGATTACTGAATGAGCTAACAGGCTACTAGCATGCATGATCTAATTAATGTGATCAATCCTACTAATATAGAGAGTGAAACGTCTTTGTACACAAATTGACAGAAAAACTGCTAAAACTAGCCTTTTCTGTTGTGAGTATAAAGC